TGTCTTGATGAAACCCCTGTAACTCTCACCACATTTTGGACATCCATGATTCACAAGCTTTTGCTGGAGGTGAAGGGATGGCCACACCAATAGAAATGACCATTCCTCTGCATCCTGCTAACCAGGGGAAAGCTACCATGCCCAACTTGGGTGTTACCATTGAAATGATTTCACCCTGCTAAAATTAGAGAATGGAATAATACTTAGTGTTAAAAAGAAATGAGCTATCAACACATGAGAAAATGCAGAATGAAATTTAAAGGCATTTAACTAAATGAAAGAAGAAAATCAGAAAAAGCTACATAGTATATCACTCCATACATATGGCAATCTGGAAAAGGCAAATGGCTAAGACAGTAGGATTAGAGGCTGCCAGTGGAGTTAGGTGGGAGAGAGGGATAAACAGAACATGCATTGTTAAATCAGTGAAAATGCTCTCTATGCCTAGAGTATCTGTTTGGCACTATAATGCTGCATACATGTCATTTTCCAATTATCCAAACTGTGGAATGGATATAAACCCTCAACAGTGAACTCATGGGTCTCCTGTTGTGGCATAGTGAGTTAAGCTGCCACCTGTGGAGCTGGCATCCCATATGGGAGTTCCATATCAAGCCCTGGCTGCCGCACTTTCTATCCAGTTCCCACTAAAACACCTGGGAAGGCGGCAGAACATGGCTCAAATGTTGGGTCCCTGCCACTCATACGGGAGACCCAGATGCAGTTTCAGGTTCCCAGCTTTGTTTTGACCCAGACCTGGCCATTGTAGCCATTCCCAGGAATGGACCATCTCTGTCTTGGTCTCTCTCTCTCTCTCTCTCTCTCTCTCTAACTTCCTTTCAATACAATAAATCTTAAAAAAGAGAACCTACCTAATGTAAATGTGGGCTTTGGGGATGATGAAGTGTCAATGTAGTTCCAAATGTAACCCTCTGCAGAAGGCTGTTGATAAAGGGGAAGGTTATGCATGTGTGTGGGCAGGAAGTATGTAGGGAATCTCTGTCCTTTCCTTTCAAATTTGCTGCAATCCCAAAACTACTCTAAAAGTAAAGTCTATTCAAAATAGTAAAGTAATAATTGTCTTCATTCCAGAACCTTTGAGAGCAATATCTGTGGTCACTGAAAACAAGATATTTTTCCTTCTGATGTTAACTTACTATAATCAGAATCTGCAGGAATTTTCCTCAAGCAACTATGAAGTCAAACCATGAATGATAAAAATTCTGAAATTATTCCATAGCTCTATTGATGCAAACTAGTGATGATATTTTATAAGGCACATAGTAGAATATAACAAATATCATTTACTCAATTGTTTTTGAGGCACAATCTTTAAATTCTAATTACCTTAAAACATTCATCATGGAGCCAGATCTTTAATTTGATTTGAGATTACTACCATAGTTTGTTTTTGACTGGCTGCCTTATAGCATTCTGAGAATTATGTTACTTTCATTACTATAATATAATATAGTATACAATGTTTCTTTTACCTTATTTCAGTTTACATTATAGCTACATGAATTTTCTATTAAAAACACTATTATTACATGATGTACTGATTTTTCTGAATCCTACACATTTTGTAACTTTTCTAATTCATCAGATATTTTAACCTTCACCGCTAGAGTCACAGATTCTTAAAAGATATAACTGAGCATGTAATAGCAGCTGTGATGTTAAGAGGATACAACTTTTATGACATACCCCTTATGACATAGTATAAATAGAAAAAATATGAAATATATTGATGAAGTCCCAGAAGGATGCTTCTTTGCCATGTGACCTTAAAGAACTATCATATGTAAGCTTTCATTTTCCCTTCTGTAAATAACAAACCATGAAATTATCGGGAAGGTAAAATGTGACAATGTATATGAACAAAACTTACAAATTTCACACTTTGTCACATATGTTAAACTATTGTTACTACATTTTAGGCGATCTTACTGAGATTCTTATTCCTCCAAAAAGGAGATTCTCTCTGATTACTTGAGTACTGTTTCTGATGGTTTCACCCTGGAGGTAACAGCTTGCCTAAGGACTGACAAGCAGACCTGCTGCACCGCAAGCTCCTGCTGCTCATTTTTGGCAGGTTGTGCTGATTTATGGGACTATTTGATTTATTTAATGTACCATGCCTTTGATTGCATTTACTCTATAGCAGTCACTCAAGATGCAAACAAACACATCATATGCTCTTTAATTATTCCCATCCCCCTTATTCTCAATCACTGCCAATATCAATGGAACAGCTGTGATCCATGCTATAAAATTAAGGTCAACTAACTTGGGTTTGCAGGAATTAATAGCAGCAATTGCTTATTCCCATTAATTTAGTATTTTTGTTCTAAAGTCATGATCAGGAAAATTCTATTCAAGATCAGAATTATTAAAGAAAAAATGAACTGGGGATAGAGATACAGTAGTTGGGCAAAGGAGGAAAGAAAAGGTAAAAAAGAACAGGTTGTTGGGGAAAGTGAAGAAGAGGAAAAATAAAGGTAGCATAATAGCTATTAGAGGCATCCATTCTAAGTTATAAAAGACTGTAATGCTCAATAGATACATGCATATACACAGATATCTATACACAGTTATAAAAGTCCTAAAGGGACACAAATAGCAATGCATGAAGTACTTGAATGTCACTCTATTTTTTTCTATCCTTAATCTATCTCCCCACCCTGTTTTTATCTACCCTAAACTTAGCAGTTCCTTGCAAATGCACTTCTAGTAATACCATACCAGAAAGATGAAAAATCTCTGTATTTACCCCCAATAGCCTACTGTCACAGAAACCTTCTTTCTATCTTGATTCATTACCATGCTTAACCACATAAAATATTAAAGAAAGAAGGATAGGTACAGGCATTGGCGTAGCGGTTAAGCCAGCACATGAGATGCTCCCATCTTATGTTGAAGTGTCTGAGTTTGAGTCTTGACCCTACTTCTGATTTCAGCTTCCCACTAATGCATAACTTACGAAGCAGCAGATGATGGTTCAAGGACTTGGGCTCCTGCTACTCGCTCGGGTGACTGATACTGAGTTCCAGGCTCTTGAATTAGATATGGACAAGTCCTGGCTGTTTTGGGCTTTGAGGTATAAACTAGTGGATCTCTGTGGCTCTGTTTTTCAAGTAAATATGTGTTAAAAAGAAAGATAGAAGGGAAGATTAAAATAAGAATTCAAGTTTTCAATGTAACAAGAAGTAGTCAAGGGATTGAAATGCTAACAACCTGCCGTCAGATATTTCATTAGTGCTGTAAAATTATCAGTCTTCGTTTTCCGTAAGTCTATGGATGAAATATTATTTTTCATATTTAATTTAATATGCATACTTATGCAATACAAGTCACTTAAATTTATATATATTTAATTACAATTAATTTAATTGCATGCAGTCTTTTTTTAAACTTTCATTTAATGAATATAAATTTCCAAAGTATGGCTTATGGATTACAATGGCTTCCCCCCAATAACGTCCCTCCCACCTGCAACCCTCCCCTTTCCCACTCTCTCTCCCCTTCCATTCACATCAAGATTCATTTTCGATTCTCTTTATATACAGAAGATCAGTTTAGCATACATTAAGTAAAGATTTCAACAGTTTGCTCCCACACAGAAACATAAAGTGAAAAATAATAGATGATTTTTTAAATGATGATGAAATCAGATCAGACCTATTGTCATGTTTAATCCCAGTGAGAGTCAAGTTGGGAATTGATAATTTCTTCTTCTTCTTTTTTTTTTTTTTTTACAGAGGATCAGTTTAGTATACATTAAGTAAAGCTTTCAACAGTTTGCACCCCCATAGAAACACAAAGTGAAATATACTGTTTGAGTACTCGTTATAGCATTAAGTCTCAATGTACAGCACATTAAGGACAGAGATCCTACATGAGGAGTAAGTGCACAGTGACTCCTGTTGTTGACTTTACAAATTGACACTCTTGTTTATGGCCTCAGTAATCTCCCCATGCTCCAGTCATGAGTTTCCAAGGCTATGGAAGCCCCTTGAGTTCTCCGACTCTTATTTTGTTTAGACAAGGTCATAGTCAAAGTGGAGGTTCTCTCCTCCCTTATACACATTAAGAAATGTACAATGTTGAATGTACTCAATAATTTAGTAAAGAATAAAATTATATGTTACTGTGGAAAAGACAGAACTTCCAGACCAAGTGTAAACCAAACAGTGTTGAATAAATAGTTCCCTAGTAGCAAAGGCAGTTGCCTCATTGGGGTTTTATGAACTGTGTTACCAGTTTGAACATCCTGAAAATCAGCATTTGTGGCAACTCTGTAATTGTCTATTGGCTGTTGTGAGACTACAAATCATATTTCCATTCCCCTTAATCTACTACTTGTGCCCAATGCATGGTAGAATTATTCCTTACAAATAGTGCTTTTCAAATTTTAATTTTCATTCAGTTATAATGTATTAAGAAGTATAATATAATTATTATGATGTAATAAGAGTTATTTAATCAATACTTGTTGATTTAATAAATTTTCCATTTATTTATTGACAACTCTATAGGAAAGTTTGCTAAGGACTGTGTAAGATATAACATCTTCAAATAGTCCAAATAACTATCATAACATATGGAAAACAATATTTATTGATAAATTATATGCACTAGTGTCATATATTTCTCATTTGGACATCACAGCAACCTTTGTGGTAGGAATTATTGACTGAGAAAATACAATACAGAAGAATTAACATGTTAACTGCTTGCTAGATTCCTCCACTGAGGGAATGGTGGATAGCATAGCCACCCAGGTGTCTCAGGGCAAAACAACAATTCCTTTTTAAGGGATCAAGGCATAACAAGAAGTGTACATGCAAGTGAAAAAAAGGTTATTTAAAAAATTTGAGTACATGATTTTTTTAAGTGAGGAAATCTGCCAAACAGTTCCTAACATTCTTGCTAAGTAGATTAAATGTTTATGACCATGGGCAATGAATGTATTCATTTGCTATTTTTTTAATCAACAGCTACTCCTAAGGATAGTGAAAACAGAACGTGTTATCTCCAAAAGGAAAGAATACCAAAGTAAGTTTGAAAAGGGTAAGTGTGATTTTCTATTTTTATAGCCTTTCTCTTGTTTAAGAAGACAAATTTTATTTTTTTTATTCTAGAACATACCTCCAACTTTTGATTTTGAAAGCATCCAGAGGAGCCAATTCTTCAAGGGAAAATTGTCACTTTGAGAATATGGATGATTTATCAGGTACAGAATTTTTTGTTTCTTGCAGAATGTCTGATGAGGTGAGATTCCTTTCTAACAACATCTTACAGATTAGTATCAAAAGCCTGAACAAAACCATTGAAATCAAGGACATTCCACTGGAAAGCAATCAATTGTTATGGAATAGATAATGTGTTTTCTTGCAAAGCAAGAGAATAACTATCTGGATGTTATTAATCTTCCTTGAAATATTTTAAGATTCCAATGTGCTGTGCTAGACAATTTTCTCTTTTCTTCTTTTTCAGGAAACACACCAAAAAAACCTGATTTATCTTCAAATTACAGGCTCTATCAAGGGCATTAAATTAGCTATTTTCCAATGATCATACTTATAGTTTACCCATGAGATATTTGTCTTAAAACTGCCCTTTTATTTGATAAGAAGGAGTCTGGTGGAAAGGAAATGACTTGATTCAGCAGTTTAAATCAGATATATCTATATGGATGTATGCATCTATGTCATTTTTTTTCTACTTCAAAATGTACCTGGGAAACATTGAAAAAGAAAAAAAAAAACACTTTAAAGAAGTTCATGGTTAGCAAATAGAAATACAGTTTCTTCAATACTATCTAATTTTGTCATTTCAGCCATGATAATTTTAATTTATTGGTAGAGATGCTTGAAAGTAAACTCTGAGTGTTCTATTGCAGCTATAAATCACTTGGGTTGTAATAATTCTAGCTTTCATGTGTACTTTAAATTATATTTATTTAGGCATATTAGCTACAAATTTTTTCTCAAATATTTATTCATCATATGTGCCTTATACAATGGCAGTCATGTATTTTTTAACAAGTTAAAATCTTATCTTCTAAATTATGAGTGTTCCCTTTGATTTATACTAAAGTATATTTGTAGTTAACAAATGCTCCCAAATTACCATGATTTACATCTTCTGTTACTCAAAACTTTTGTTGTATTTTTATTTACTTAAGCACTATCTTGCATAGTTTACACTTTGTTTTACTTGAATATTTTTTCAAATTTTGAATATTTAGTTTTATTTTGATTTATCAGCAGATTAGAGATGATTATAGATTATACGTGTCCCTTTCTCTTATGGGAGTAGAAAGAAAATATTAGTATAATCACTATTAGTTGCTTTAAAATATGGGTTTATTCATTGACTCAGGAAGCATTTTTAAACATGTTAGTCTCAGTATATAAAAAGGGGTGAAAATATATGTACCTGATCCTAAATAGATAAATGTCTTTATGGAAGTTACAATAAAATGTAATCAGTTTTAATGATAGAGAGCAAGGAAGGCACAGAAAGAAGTTCCCAACTCTGCCAAAATCAAGGAGACAGGTCATGCTGAAGTCAGGAACCAAAGAATGTGTCAGAATATGGCCTCCATGCTAGTGCAGGAAATCAGAGAGGGAACAACACACAGAGGAATCATAAAGCCTATTAATTATAGGCTATAAATCTGTTTAATCCATCATCAAATACCCTATCTAAGGAGGTGTTGATGAGTGCTTATTGAATGGCAAAAGGAGGATTCCATAGTATTTCTATGATTTAAACTTATACAACACATGATTGGCAAAGGAATATCAAGCTGCGATTAGCAGCTGTTTTGAAAGACTGTTGAAGAACCTACTTGACACCAATACAATTACATCATGTGGATGACTTGTCTTCTACGATTTACGTGTATAAATTTTTAATTCAATCCTTGGCATAAATGCTGAGAAACTTCACAATGGATCCATTTCCCCTGCAAAAATCAATTAAGCAAATAAACCAAATAAGTTATGAAAAATATGTATCTTAAAATGTGTTAAAATTTTACTTTCATCTGTTCTGTTTTTTTTTTTTTTAATTTATTTGACAGGTAGAGTTATAGACAGTGAGAGAGAGAGAGAGAGAGAGAGAGAGAGAGGTCTTCCTTCCATTGGTACACTCCCCAGATGGCCACTACGGCCAGCTGGAACTGGGCCGATCCGAAGCCAGGAGCTGGACTGTAAGAGGAGCAATCGGGACTAGAACCCAGCGCCCATATGGGATGCTGGTGCCACAGGTGGAGGATTAGTCAAGTGAGCCACGGTGCTGGCCCTGCCTTTCATCTGTTCTTATACAAAGAGAACCTCACAAACTTGGTTGAACAATTTGACAAATCTATATATATACATGACAAAATGTATTGGACTAAACAGGCAATCTGTACAAGAATATCCATTTTGCATCCTGCTGTAGAGATTAAAAAAAAAAAGTGGAATTATTTAAGTGAGATTATAGAAAGGAATCCCTAAAACTTCCTGGGAGTGTCAGGGAGGATTCTCTGGAGAGGGATCTCAATGGTCTTCGTGTTAATTCTCAAGAAGCTTATTCTCTAATGTGAAAGTCTAGTGTGAAGCTCAATTTAAAAGATACAATTTGCAGTTAGGATAAATGGTATGAAATGGTTTAGGATGAATTGAAATCATATATTAGGAATATATGGCCTTTTCAGAGTGTTTTGATAGTGAAGATATTTTGCTGAATTTCAAGTATTGGTAAGTTGTCCAGGTAAAGAGAGAAAAACAGAGCAGCCCAGGAATAATGAATAAAATCTGAAAACCTCTGAGTCATCAAGGGAATGGAAATACTAAATAGTCAAAAGTCTAAATTCAAAAAAAAAAAGAGGGAGGAACTGATATAGTGAAAGTATGGTGAATGAGGAGGAAGTACTGCATGAAATAAGATAATGGTTAGCATCTGCAAATATTTGGATACATTCAATCTCTTAATACATATTTGTTGCATTCCTACAACATGCCAGACACTTTTCAAGGTGCCAAAATAATTGAAAATGCAACATTGACACATTTAAGCATTTAAAGTTGTAAAGGCACTTTGGGAGAAAAAGATGAAATTAATTTTATCATGTGAGTGGCATGGAGGAAAATAGGACATAATAGGTGGAATGTAGGGTCCTATTTTGATACAGGATGTTGACAAGGCCTCCCTTTTTCAAGGAAACATTCAACAGAAGGAAGGGAGGTAAGCATGAGAAGTTTTACTGCAGTGGACTTTGGCAGCGGGAACAGTAAATCCTGAGGGTCTGAGGTGGGTGTATGCATAGTGTATCCCGAAAATAGAGAAGGGAACAAGATGACTAGAAGGCATCATAGGAGATGAACAATGGAAAGAGTAGATTTGGTAAGAAAAGAGGACCAAGCCGTAGGTATTAAAGAACTGCCTTGAAACCATGGTAAGAATTTTGATTTTGGTATTGGATAAGAGAATTAACAGGAATCATTGCTCTAATGATCATAATCTAATTTAGTTTAAAAATACCACTGGGCTACGATGAGATTAAACTGCAGGGCACAAGCAGGGAAACAATGAAAGTAGCTGGGATTCCAATGGAATTTTAGGGACAAGGTGATGGAAACGAGACCAGGATATGCCAATGTAATTGAGAGAAAATATCATGTTCTGAGGGTATAGACAGAAAGAAAATGACTTTAAAAATATATAGATTATGGCTGGTGCCGCGGCTCAGTAGGGTAATCCTCTGCCTTGCGGCGCCGGCACACCGGGTTCTAGTCCCGGTCGCCCCTCTTCCAGGCCAGCTCTCTGCTGTGGCCAGGGAGTGCAGTGGAGGATGGCCCAAGTGCTTAGGCCCTGCACCCCATGGGAGACCAGGAGAAGCACCTGGCTCCTGCCTTCGGATCAGCGCGGTGCGCCGGCCACAGTGCGCTGGCCGTGGTGGCCATTGGAGGGTGAACCAACGGCAAAGGAAGACCTTTCACTCTGTCTCTCTCTCTAGTGTGAGAGATTGAATGTCCACTCTGCCTGTCAAAAAGAAAAAAATACATATATATAGATTATAAGAAAAATACCTAGATGTCTCCAAATCTTTTTATCCTTTGAAACAGGAAGAATTGGGCTTTCACTTATTGAGATGATAAAAACAGTGTGAGGTTAGTAAAGGAAGACAAGATTTTATTATGCTAAGTTTGAAATGAGGATTAGACATTCAAGTGAGAGCCTGAATTGGGCATTTGTTAAATAAGTCTGGAGTTCATCTAAGAAGTACTATCCCTAGAAGTTACACATTTGTGTGTTGTCAGTTAAGTTGTTGGATTGACAGCATTTTATGTTACTATTGGTAGAGTTGAGCAAGGACACAGCCTTGGAACACATAACAGAAAACAACAAAAGGTTATGAAAAGGAGCAAGTGATCTTTAAGATTCTCCTAGAGTGATATCCTGGGAATCAGTTACATCAAAGACTGGTGTAAGATTGAATAAAATGAAGGTTGAGAATAAGTCAGGGAGATAAATAAAAACTCAGTAGAGAAAAAAAGTCCTTGAGTAGGTGAGAAGAAACAATAACACTATAAAGGACAGAGCGGAACTTGATTAGGACCGTGGGAAAAGTCAGAGTTTGGAAACACAGAAGAGATGGTACATAAGGCTTTGGGAACAAAGGGGAGTTTTGCTGATTTACTTCTATTTTCTCTGTGAAATGGAAAGCAAGGTCATCGACATTGAATGAGTTAGGTAAACAGGATTTAGCTGTTTGGGGAGAGGAGAAAGGATATAAAATAATTAATTAGCTCTAGGAGGGAAAGAGATTATGGAAATTAGGAGAAATACAGTAAAACTCGATGACCGTGATGTAAACATAAGTCTTGTCCTCGTATGTTTAGGGGTGGGGATTTGATGTGACACCTGAAATCCATATGCAGGTACCTGAGTATGAGTTTGACTCTCTTTCTGATTCCAACTACTTGCTAATGCAAACCTTCAGATGCAACACGTTATGCCACAAATACTTGGGTCTCTGTCACCTCTGTGGGAGACCAAGAGAGAGTTCCTTGTCCCTGGATTCCTATTAAGGCAGCAGTGGATGTTGTGAGCATTTGAGGAGTGAAGAAGCAGATGGGAGAACTCTCTGTGTCTGTCTGTTCCTCTCTCTCCCCTCCTTGCTTGCCTTCCAAATAAATTAAGTGAATAACTTTAAAAATTTCAAAAATACGATGTGTGTGTGATTGTAAGCATTAAGAGTCTAACATTTAATTGTTTTTATTTAATTGATATAGTGGCAAAAAGAGAAGGGGGAGTCAGGGACATTATTTCAAATTCTGGCCTGAGTAACTTAAGGGGATGAAAAGCAACTACAGACACTAATAATCTGGAATATATAGATTTTAATGGGGAGGCTGAAATAAAATTTGGGGAATGTTCATTTTGAGATAAATATGAGTCATGCAAGGGAAAATGTTGAATATGTTGTGGGGAATAATGTATTCAGGAGAAACAGCAAGGGTGAAGATATGCATTTGAGAATAATTTGCTTGTGAATTCCAAGTGACCAACCAAATACCTTGCAGAGTTATTGGTGACTGATTTTTGGGTATTATACATTGAATTTGCTGTTCCTGAAAATTTGCTGTTCTTGAAAATTCTTGAAACAGTTCTTGAAAATTAAGTTAAACAGAATATATTTATACTTTGAAAATATTTTAAAACAGAGAGTAAGCAATCCAAGGTTCTCTACAAATTACCCATCGAGCCTGTGACAAAAGATGGTGGTTTGGAGTTGCCTAGAGTAGTTACCAGTAGGCCAATCAAAAAATAAAAAAATGTTTACACTTAATTCTAATTTTATTTGCCATATTTTAAAATGTAGTCTACAATTTGCATATTCTCTACAAATATATCATTGGTTGAACTTAATTCAATTCAATTATACTATCTTGATGTTACATTTTTGTTTCTTTTTATAGTTACTCACAAGTTTTTACATGTACACTGTAAGGACAGGTTTCTTTCTTTTCACTGAATAGGCTAATTGCCAACTAAAATTTAGATACTTTTAATAAGACATAGCATGAATTAAGAGGTCTACACACAAGGACCAGACAGAATGTCATCCAGGAAAAGTTTTAGATCTGCATTGCATCCAAAGAATAAAAGTACACAGGGTCTGCAAAAAATAATAAGAAGAAGAAAAGAAAAAGTATGATGGAGGGAAGAAAACAATTCTGAGAATATTCATTTATGATATTGAATATATATTAATAGATTTCATAGAAATATGTATTATAAAAATATGAATGAATATAAATTTTATTATACATCAAAATAAATTTACTATTTGATTAAATTTTCCTTCAGACTTTTTGAAGTACATTTGTATTTGCACATTACTCAGATATCATTCTTTGTTTTTCACTTTTTTGAAATATGTGATTAACATGTAATTCTTGTAAATGTTATGGAACGAAGGGCAATTTTTCCACACATATATGCAATGTGAACTGATCAAACCAGGCAAGTTGTTTTTCTATTTCCCTATATTTTATATATCTTGTAGCCAACCAGCCAACCAAGACATCCTTTTAATTTAATCATATCACATTTAAAAGTTTTTATTTTCTCAATAATTGACTAAATATATAATGCTTCAACAGAAATCCTTTTCAGCATTTTTGTATCACTTCTTAGTTATTTTTTCGAACAGATAGGGAATTTTTTCTTAGCATGACTATATGTTTTCATGGATTTTAAAGCAGGTCAAGGATTGTGTTAATTTATATGCCCACTAAAATTGTGTGTATGTGTTTGTGTGTGTACGCGTGTGTGTATATGTGTATGATCTTGGTATTTGCTACCTTAACAACCACTGTTTATTTCCATCATTAATAAATAATTATCCAAATATTTCTCCCTGCCTTTTTCCCCAAAACTTCATGGTCAGTTCTTTCCCTCATTCACTAAATGATGACCAACCTCAAGGTCTTCCTATATGAAGTGAAGTGCCCCCTGCCTCGATCACTTATCTTAGTTCTTTATATCCTGAGCATTTCTTATCTTTTTTTTTTTCTTAAGTTAAATATCAGAAAGAATAAGCCTGACCTGTTATTTAAAGTAATTCTCTACTCCAACTGTTCTTTTATTTTTTGTAGCCCCTCTCCACTTCATTTATCACTCTTCACAAATGTCACAATGTATTTCTGATGACTTGTTTATGTTCTGTTTTGGTCCCCAGGTTTATAACGATGACAAGAGAGATCGTGTCATTTCCATTCATCACTGATTGCTAGTACAGTGTATGGAAATTAGCAGGGCTCTGTGAGTATTTGCTGAATCCATGGGCAAGTGCATGAGTTACCGACTGAAGAAACTCCCTGTGGGAGGAATCTATTTTCATTTTTCTTCTCAATGATTTACTAAATGAAACTTTAAATTTGTGTTACTAGTAATATGATACTTCAGAATCTATTGTAGTTACATTTGAGGTTTTTAGAATAGTCAATAAATTATATAATTAAGAAGCATCCAAACGAAACAGAATTTAAACAAATAATCACCAGCTAAATGGTATGGTAGTATCGTTTCAATTCATCTTGTCATTTGTCTATCATCATGAACTGGATAAGAAAATCAGAAGAATAATTTTTCACTATTAGGAAATCTACCACACAAAGAAAAATTTTAATTAGTTTAATAAACATTTTTCAAACATAGTTTAAGAGAAACAGTTATTTTCATAACACTATTAGAATTTTGAAGTACTTGTAACAGCAATAAAAAATTGATTGCTCATGAACTGTGTCCTTCATCTAAGCAATGCACAGTGACATATATTTCACAATATTTTTAAGCAAAGGATTTTTCCGTCTTAACCATAACTACCTTATTCTGAAACAAATGTAATTTTAAAAACTTAATTCACATTTTTCCTGAAGCTTTTATTGAATTTTATCATTATTAAATAGTGATATTAAGGTATATGCTTTAGCAATTTCAAGTTTTAACAGTATATTTTCAAGTATTCCAAGTGATTTTTAAAAATTTTGAAATGTAATCAACTCACTCTTAGATTCCCGATTATCCATATTTAAACCATAAAGAATTTGGCACTTATTTAGTTCACAATTCTCAGATATTACTTGTCCCTCACCCTTGCTCCTTTCTCTCCTCTTGTGTTCTTTCCTCTAAAAGAAATACAATTGTGTTAGAAAATGGTGCTGTCATCTCTCAATAGCTAATCGTTACCTTCAAGTGGCCTTCAGAGGTGTCCCGTTTACTGCCCTTTCTGTGGTACTCCAATTTCAGATCAACTTTACAGGAAATTCACGTCCGCTTTTAATGATAAGGTCCAGGTTCTTCTGATGAATGTCTGTCCCCCGGCCCTGATTGACACCAGCAGGATGTGGAGGATGACAAATTGTCAGACAACAGATCAATCTGTTTTCTCCATTAAGTAATGAGGAATGAAAGGGAGAGCCATGGCAGTGTGGCGGGTGGGGGGTGTGCTGTCTGTGATTACCTGGAGACATCTTAAAGATGTTTGTAAATCAGATGTGTTAGCAGGATGTGTGTGCACTTATTATACATGCAGTAGTGTGCATGTTTGAGTGATGAGAACTGAATATGCAGCAGATACTTTCAACAATAAAACACAAATAAAAATGATTAGAAGAAAGGTATTGAACAAGCTATGAATGTAAAATTCAGTGTCCTCTGAGAATGCAAAGAATAGAATAAGTTGAGCAGGATCTAATAACACAGCCTGAAGTCTAGAGGCTTGAAGATTAGAAAACTACATTAATTATTAGCTTTATTTTCAAATGAATTTTTAGTTGACAAGGAGTTTTTATCTGGGGGAATAATTTGGATTATAATGCGTTTTTCTGGAGCACATTTCTGAGAGGTTTTGCCTGGAACTTCAAGAAGTAAGTATTTCAGAAAATTTTGTCAGTTCGAAATTCCGAATACAAAGAAACAAGCATAAAATATATAACTTTTCAGGGAAGTTATCAGTATTTTCCACTACTCTTCTAGGCTCAATGAGTGAGAATTTGTATGCCACCTTAGGGCTATCTCATGTTCATGATGCAAAAACAATAAGAATGGAGTTGAGGTCTTAGACTGAAAAATGCTGACATCAAGTTTATTATGTGACCTTTGAGCTTCCCCTTCAACATGAATGCATATCAGGTTAGGAATGTTTTTATTTGTTCTGTTTGTTCCAAAGTGGACTCAGTGTAGTCTAAGCATAATGAATTTTTTTAAATAGAGATAGAATGACTATTTCTGAGTATCTAAGAAACTGGATAAAATCAGTCATTGTGATAAATGTTACCCCGGAACTAAGGGATCAACCTCTCTCTCTTCTCTGGGTTTTTCCATATACAGTTTCTACTGTTCTCTTCAAACTGACCGGAAACTTCTTCCTTCATAGAGAACAGATAAGTCCTTTTATTATTTTCTTAAAAAAATCCTTTCTCCTTTAAAGAGCAATCATATAGAGAGATTGAGTCTAGGGGCCAAAAAACAGAAAATTGAAATCCTGTCATTTGCAACAAAATGACTGCAACTAAAAACCATTATACTTGGTGAAATAAGCCAGTCCCAAAAAGACAAATACCATATATTCTCCCTGATCTGTGGTAACTAATGAAGTACCTAAAAGGTAATCTATAGAAGCAAAATTGACACTTTGAGATGCAATGAATTTGAAAAGTCCTGTCTCAACTGTGGATGAACTTTTTTAAAGAATATTTGTTGAACTCTTTACTTAGTGTAAGATTAATCTTATGAGTATAAAGTTAATTTAAAATAGAGCTTTGTGAAAAATATTAATGGGAATAGGAAAGGAAAGGGGAAGAAGGGTATGAGTGCAGATGGGGACGAGGTTAGGGTGGGAAGAATCACTGTGTTCCTAAATTTGTATATATGAAATTTGTTTACCTTAAATAAAAGTTTTCTAGGTTGAAAAAAACAAGTCTATGGGCCAGCTCTGTGCATAGCAGGTTAAGCTGCCTCCTGCCACACTGGCATGCCACGTGGGCTCTGGTTCTCTCCATTTGTGCTAATGCTCCTGGGAAGCAGCAGAATATGATGCCAGGGTTTGGGCCCCTGACCAAGTGGGAGACCCATATGAAGCTCCTGTCTCCTACCTCTGATCAGGCCAAGCTCTGACCATTGTAGCCATTTGCTGGGTCAACCAGAGGTTAGAAGATCTCTGTTTCTGCCTCTCCCTCTCTGTAACTCCACCTTCCTTTTTCAAAATAAGTATTAAGCCTACATGTCAAATCCAGGCCCCAAATTTTGGTTAGCACAACTTATGCTAAGTGTCCAATCTTGGAGAATCCAGTTGTGTTCAAAAAGCAAAGCCATGTATTCTGAGTTTTCTATAATGTAGACAAAAGGAGAGATGGTTCATTGAAATTGGAGACAGTTGATCTAAAAAGGGATGACATTAGCAGCCAAAACAATAGTTTCATAACCCCCCAAAAAAATCCTGCTGAAAAATTCTGATCAGAGGTATATGGAGACAACATTGTTGGTGTGCTGGGGAACAATTCTCACCTCTGGAAACCATGGAGATATCATTAAAATTGTATCATCTTTTTAATTATCAGAAAAGTGAAGGTCAAAAACATTTCTTTTTATTATATATTTATAAGGATATATAATATTAATTATAAATGAATCAAACTCAGTCCATAAAGAGGTTAAGTGTTATAGATGATTATAAATACTTCTGGTATTTGGAAATGATCTAAATAGTATATAAGACTGATGACATGGATAAAACAACACAACTGATGATTAGAATGTCTACTGTGAGGGACAAGGAACATTGAAATAGATGCTACATTTTCCATGAAAATGCTTTATAGAAGGGCTGGCACTGTGATGTATTAGGCTGAGCCTGTACCTGTAGTGCCCGCATCCCATATGGCCTCATTTCCCAGCTGTTCCTCTTCTGATCCAGCTCTCTGCTTACACCTTGGGGAAGCAATGGAAGATGGTCCAAGTGTTTCAGCCCCTGTACTCACTTGGGAGACCCAATAAAAGCTCTTGGCTCCTGGCTTACGACAGTCCCAGCCCTAGAAGTTGGCCATTTTGGCCATTTGGGGAGTGAAACCAGCCCATGGAAGGCTTTCCTCTCTGTCTCTCCCTCTCTTTCTATAATTCTTCCTCTCAAATAAATAAATAAATAAATATTTTTAAAAGAAAGAAAATGAAAAACATGCCAGGGGATTCCAATACAATCCCATCAAGGTGGCATGTACCAATGCCATCTCACTAGTCCAAGGGATCAATTTCAGTTCACAATTGATCACACTGATAGGTCTAAGAGTCAAAGGGATCACACAAACAAGACTAGTGTCTGCTAATACTAACTCATAGAATCAAAAAGGGAGAGAATGATCCAACATGGGAAGCGAGATACACAGCAGACTTATAAAATGGCAGATGTCCTAAATAGCACTCTGGCCTCAGAATCAGCCCTTAAGGCATGCGGATCCAGCTGAAATGCCCATGAGAGTATTACAGGCATGGAAAGCCAAGACACTCTGGAAAAAAATAAAGAAGACCCAAATGAAAGATCTCTGCAAGTGAGATCCCAGTGGAAAGAATTGGGCCATCAAAGAAGGAGGTACCTTTCTCTGAAGGGAGGAGAGAACCTCCACTTTGACTATGACCCTGTCAGAATAAGATCAAAGTTTGCGAACTCAAAAGGCTTCCATAGCCTTGGCAACTCATGACTAGAGCCTAGGGAGATTACTGACACCATAAACAAGAGTGTCAAATTGTTTAGTCAACAACAGGAGTCACTGTGTACTTACTTCTCATGTGGGATCTGTCCTTAATGTGTTGTCCAATGTGAAGTAATTATATAACTAGTACTGAAACAGTATTTTATACTTTGTGTTTCTGTGTGGGTGCAAACTGATGAAATCTTTACTTAATATATACTAAATTGATCTTCTGTATATAAACATAATTGAAAATGAATCTTGATGTGAATGGAATGGGAGAGGGAGAGGGAGATGGGAGAGGTGCGAGTGGGAGGGAAGTTATGGGGGGGAAAGCCATTGTAATCCATAAACTGTACTTTGGAAATTTATATTTACTAAATCAAAGTTTAAAAAAAGAAAGAAAATGATTTATAGAATAGATATAACAAATTACAGGAAGAAATAATTTTTCTATCTTCCATAATTATAATTTCAATAAATAAATTAAGCTCATTTGAAATGAATAAAGTTCTCAACAAAAATCCTAAAATCAAATCTAACTGGTAGTTTAATCTCCTATTTCCAGTCTTTCAT